AAGTAAGTTATTCACTTGTGAGCCGAAGCATGGCCGGATTGCATTACTGTACCCACGGTACCGTACTTATTTAGTGCTTGTTTTTATTTGAAACTCCTGTCAGAATATACTTTCCGTTACGAAGAAAATTAAAAAAATAAATGCATATTACAATAAAAATACTGAGTATTTTTTTTCATGTGAACAGTTTTTTTGTGACGTGACCCTTATCACTCTTCCCTGACATCTAAATTGGAGTTGCCCTTATATTCAAAAGATGTACGGTGTATTGTTTATTTTGAGCAAGTGATGTGGGGGGAAAATGACCACGCCCATTTAGTTATTGCAATATGTACGTAATAGAAACCGCACCCCGAACTTGAGCTGTTGATCCCAATTTTGTATTTGATACATTGTAATATAAACCGCGGCTTATAATAGGATTTTAACAGTAGGAGAGAATGTGGAAGAAAACTAGAAACTACCATAGAGAAAATGGTTCACTTAGGACAGTGCCATTCTGTTTGTTGCTTCACAATTATGCAAACCAAGACGACTAGTTCGTTGCAAAACATAGTAGTTGTTAATGTTTCAAACTAATATATGACTATTATGTAAATTAATATTCAAATTGATATTTATTTAGCTCTGTTTATTCAATTTTATTGTGGAGAGAAAACTGTGGTAACATCTTTATTTAATTTTATCTCCATGTAGGCTTGTTAAAATCAAGGAATGGATTGATGCTAATGATCCCGGAGCAATAGCTATTCCATTTTCAGGAATATATGAATACAGCATTCTAGACAAAGATACTAATGAGGAAAAAGAAGCTTTTATGAAAGAGAAAGGAGCTCAAGGTGAGTTTGGTGATGAGCGAGTGAGGTGAAATATGATGGGCGAGGTTGGAGTGGTGTATGAAGTTGTAATGATGGTGAAGTTGCGTGATGATGGGATTGGAGTTATAGATGATGATGAGTGAGGTGAGGGGAGAATGGTTGGTAAACTAAGAACCATATTTAACCCATATATCATGGCAGTTTAGTTTAATAATTTTTTTTATTTCCATACTATGTGTTAACAATCTCAGCTATTTGATGGGCCCTTGATAGCAGATTGACCTTTAACTTCATGCCGATTATCACAAAATATAAACCATTATCTCAAGACGTTGGCCGTTTTACATATATGTGAGTCATTCATTTTTAATTCTCTCAACCTCAAATTTTAGTAATTATATTACCAATGCTTCCCAGAAACCGAAATATACTGGGTCCCAAAAAGAACTATTATTTCCTAATCGCAACAGGATAAATTTGACGGCGATCAGCATTATTGCACCGAGATCAATTATGAAAATGAGCAACAATTCATGTTGTTTTGAATATGCGCTCACAAACTAAAGTCATAATAGTTATGAAATATTTATATGAATAAATAGGGTATCAAATCTGTTACCCTATAATACCAGATTTATTAAACTTAATAATTTGTATTTGTTCCTTACTAGAGCCTCTGAGTTGCTAAATCTGATATTGTGGGGGTAACTGGTAGAATATCCTTAATGAATATTCTGGATATTCAACCAAATGGTAATAAATTGTAACCTAGGGGGTCTCAAGAGTCTTGTGCCTCGTATTAAAATTATATATCAAAACCAAATTGTTTGTATATTGACCTATTTCCAAAAATAATCATTTTAATACAATTTATTGTATTTTGATCAAAAGGATAAAAAATTGTACTGTCATGGACACTGCTTGTAAAACGTTTTTGGAACTGTTGACTTTGTTGTCACTGTTCTGCAGGATTTGTAGTGATACTGCCCTCTGGTGACTGAAAGGTTTGGTACGTTTGTTTTTTAGTTTAAAAATTTATTAAATAATTGAATGCTGATAGGGAAAGTTTCAATATCTAGGAGTGTGCCTATTATACAGTTTACACTATTAAAGTTGCTCAATATAGTAATTTTAATGAAATTTATGAAACAAGTTAAAGACAACTTGTATATGTTACATAATCTTTTTCTCAGAATAATACTTACTTAAATGACATGTTTTGTTGTCGAATAATGTAATTTTCAATTTGTAACTTGTATTTTGTTGCTATGAAAACTGATTACATCGTGTGAAAAGTTATTTTCACTCGATATTGTAGTACCTTTTAGTCATACTGCCCTCTAGTGTCTGAATGCTGGAATTTTTTTTTTTGAGCGCCGAATACACAAAAAGTATATACTAGTATGCATTGACGCTGCAGGTAGGCGTTTTTTCAACACCGATCTGACGACTTAGAACGTTTGAAAGTTAATCGTCGATTGGCACGTATTTTACGGATATATTAAATCATTTCAGGGGCCTGTTTACTAAATAATGATAAATTAAACTTAGAAATATTGTAAGAACAAACTAGCCCCATCATTGCGCAAATTTGCAATGAGTTTACGGCTGCTAGTGTGGTTCTGCGAGTTCTACGCGTGATTTTATCGCGTTCAAGGACGTTCTATTTTCGAACTAGTTGAAACCGGAAATTACTTTCGAACATCAAACACAAATTTAATTATCGTTATCATGTCTTAGTTTCTGTTATTTCCACGATTTAATTATTTATGACATTAATATTTCACTCACTGAACAATATTTCACTAAAATATGCGATTAAAAAGCAACTTAAATTGGAAAAAAATTATCAAGTTCCGTATAAACACTAGTGTAAAGAGGCGGCGGAGCGCTATTTTAGCCAAAATCGGCTAGTAAGGCGTCATATGGCACAGGTTTGTGCCGACACAACGACTAGTATGTGAATGATGAGTAATTATGGACATTTTTAATTTGATTGAGTCAGTAATTTTATGGTAATGCCCCTCACCTTTTGGGGTTTCTGGGTAAGTTAGTCTGCAATACTAGTTTTTATACACAGTGACTGTGGAGTATTGAAGCATGTGATCAAAATATGTATTGATGACATTTTGTTAGTGAAAAAAATATTCCATTTTAACTTCATAACATTCAATAGTGACATGTGCTTACTTATGTTTCAATAAGTACAATGTTTCAATGTGATGAATGTGGAGTTATGAATTTAGTTGATTTAAACCAGCATCCAGGTGCCATGTTTCAAAAAATGTACTCTAAATAGTTCAAAAACAGTGTTAAACATTGACTTATTAACACCCTGGAAAACATATACCATATATATTTATTCTCATCATTTCACTTGCAAAATTTAAAATGCTATCTATTGAAATCGGTTTTGATCCAACCTCTCCAACCCCCCATTCTGATGATGTAATGGACCTGAAGGCAGAATGTCTCTAATCAGTGTACAGATAAAACCTTCGATGAGAGATGGAAAACCTGTTCATTTTTTACAATTATGAACATCATAGTACTAATTAGTATTCATGTCAACTTATGATTTTACTAAAAATCAAATATTTACAATAAAAACCTGGCTGCTGGATAGAAAGAAGAAGATTAATTACCGTATTTATCCGGCTAAGAGCCCATGTCCGTACAAACGCCCATCTCCCACTTTTGATAAAATAAAGGAGTTGAGGTCATATCCTAGCAAACGCTCAGGTTTTTTTCTACGCCTGTAATAAAATAAAATAACAAAAACCTTTTTTTGTTCGTTGTATTAACAGTTGACTTCCTTGCAGTCTGTTGTGATTTTAATCCAAAAAATTGAAAAATAAATGTCAATTGCGTAAAACTAAGGAGTGGACGCAAAATAGCTGTGACATAAATAGAGCAGCGCGATTCAAGCTTGCAGTAAATCGAGAGCCGCGAAGCAAGTGTCGCACTCATTAGGCTTTAACGTCGCCGACAATGAAACCAATGTTGCAATATTGCAACCCGTACCAGAGTGGTTGAAAGCACGTTGTTTTGGCTTTATAAAATGTTTGCTA